ATATAGAGTACAATACCGTACCGGGTGGATGGCAGATAAGATATCGGGAGTAACAGGAAAATTACAAAACTCTCAAAAATGACGCATTAGTCCTTATGCAGATCGTAGCTCAGCTGGGCCATATGGCCAACGACAAATACTCCGGATGTGACCAAAATGACGGCCAAGACGAAGAGGACGAGCAGGATTCGGTCGAGTACCTGGCAATTGAAATATTAGAAGGTATACCGATTTAATTCTGCATCGATAATTCATTGTATCTTAGTCCACAAGGCCGTTATGCAGTTTTTGAAAAAAATGCATCACTTAATTATCCGTTTTTAAAGGTCAAAAATAGCAAGAAATTATTCGTCTACTTTCAGTTTGATCTACAAAATGAGGGTCTGAGTTTTTAAGTCCTTCTCGCCCTACCGTAGCCAAAAATTCCCATTCCAACGAGCATTGCCGTGAGCGACGCATACTGTCGAGCTCTTTGTTCTGCGGGAAGACGGAAGAGCGGCGGGATGTTGAGCGAGAGGCTAAGAATTAGGATTTTTCTCGCCAAAAAATATGAGCTTTGCATTCTAACAGGGATTGCGACAAGGGCATGCATAGAATTGATAGGAATTAGGAAAATTCGGGTTAGCTCGATTTTTAGTTGTTTTTCGATGCAATATCTGCTTATTGGATGGAACTGACTGGTTTCTGGTTTTTGAAAACTGAAAATATATGCTTATGCAATTATGCAGGTTATGCAGTTTTTCCAAAATTGCGTAATTTTGTGGTTTCAGAAGGTTTCAAATACGTTTCTGGGTGCCAGTTAGCTAATTCCCGCTAAATAAATGCGAGTTTCCGGTTATGCAGTTCACTCCAGGTTATGCAGTTTTCTGCGCGGTTATGCAGTTTTTGAAAAAGCTGGGGTTTTTTTTACATTTGTGGATATTAATTCCCTGCCGGGTGCCAGTTAACAATTTTCAAGTGCTAAAATAATTCTCCATGCTACAGTAGTGCTGTGGCAATTGTGAATAGGTGTACCGAGTACGGTCGTCATAGCATTTTCCCATAGGTTCGAGCCTCGGCGGCTTGTGCGCCCCGTGGCGGCGGGGGTTGTCGTGTTTGACACATCTGAAATTGGGCCATCACAATGCCCAAAATATGCTGTGAGTGAATCAACTAATTAATTGATGATTTGAGATAGATTTAGAAACGGAAAATAAGCCATGCACAGAGTTATGTAGTTTTTGCAATTCAATCAACAATTTTGTAAAAAATACGATAAATTGGGAGTTTTTGAGTGATTTCACAAGACACGCGAATTTTGTAGTATTTTTTACTGTGTGGTGTGTAGTCTGTAGTCTCTACCCTACCAATCATTTGTATCGAGTGGCGTTTGTCGATTGGTTGAGCGGTTGACGAGGCCGAGCCTGGCACACGAAGGCTGTTTTCTGATATTCTGAAAAATTCAGATATTTTAGCGCGAAACTTTTTAAAATTATGAACTGCCCTCCAGTTAAACTAATTGAAACTTTAACTCAAAAATTTTTACGCACTTCGATTTTTTTTCAGGTTTCTCATACCTTGTCTGTACGGGCTGATGCTTATTCGACTCTTTTGGCACCAAAAAGCTCCCATTGGTGCCGATCTTTTTATCCACCATCCGCACGCCATTCCGATTTTTCCAAGCGTCACGAGGGTGGTCCTGGAATTTTTGATCAAAAATATCGGGTTTCTATTACATCCAAGTCCTCCCACAGCTTCCGTAAAGGTGGCGGGACGTCACACCAGAAGACCGCACGGAGGAAGCCGAAGAACCAATATCTGAATTTTTCCTTTTAGATTTTTGTTTATTGGCTGGTGATGAACGCTATGAACTGAAAAACTATACGGCTACGGTAGCTTTTGAGTTATGCAGTTTTTTAATTTAGCCTTTTGGTGCACACTGGATTCGATTTCTGCGATTTTTCAGAGCGTTCGGCCCATTCTTGGTTATGCAATTTTTGCGATTTCTACCAGCTGAATGGCAAAAGCCACTTTTGACCAAGAACGAGGCCATTTCTGTATTTTCTATGTTATGCAGCTTTCCCCACCCACCTGACAAACACTGGTGGATTATTGCCATATTGCCTTCTTCCCTGGATAGAGAGAACGATTGAAGTGAGGAATGTTCCAATTGACACAATTATTATAATCGACAGGTAGAACCAAGCGATTAAGGGGACAAATTCTGAGGTGGTTGGCATTGCATCCGATACCATCAACATCAGGATGGACATCGCGAGCAGAGTGGTGATACCTTAGATGAATTTAGTGGAGAGCAGAAAAGGTATTGGTGCGATTAAAAAATCACAAAAATGCTAAATTATTTGTTAAATTAGGAAAAAAACTTTTTAATGAAAAGGCGAGCCAAATTGGAGGATTTGAAAAATTCGGATCATAAAATCCAACATACCAAGATTGATCTTCTCTTTTCTATCATCATCAGTACTGGCCGGTGTAAAGAATCCAGTAATAGACACAATGGTAATGATGGAAGTGGGAATTATCAGATTCACAACGTAATACAGGGGTTTTCTCCGGATGACAAGTGATGCTTGCAGGATTACCCATGGCTCCGGGCAACACGCGTATTTGTACTGGAAACTTTAGCGTAAATACTTAGCCAGAAATAGCCAGAAAAGCCAGAAAAGCTATTTAATATATTTCTTACCTCATGCCGGTAGATTTTGAAGGATATCACATCCCATTCCTCGTTCGGGATAAAGAATTGGAGGTCGACCTGGAATTTTTGGGGATTGATTTCGAAATAGATACTGTGACTGCTTGTTTGTGCGTCAGTTTGTCTATTTGTCTGGCCGCCTGTATTTCTGTCCATTAACTTACCGCCGGGTCAGCATAATAGTCCAATGCCGATTTGCTGTTGGTCCACGATGAGATCGTTAGGGTACAATTTTGCTGGTCGTACGGGAAGTATCTAAACATTTTACATACCGTAATTCCTTCTGACGTACCGTATATTCAATCTGCAGGTCAATGTATAGATCGCCGGATACAGAAATGACATATTACTGCCATTCCTCCCCTCCCAATGCAGGGTGTCGGCTTGAATGTTCATATATCGTTCCGTTTCGTCTCGGGCCATGCGGACACTATGATAAGAAAGTTAAGTGATTTTTATATAGTTTGGCAATTAAAACTTTATTCAGCTAGCTGACGGGCAATACAGTGCTGTCCAAAGTATCAGACCTTCATTTTGGTTTTCTGGAAAAAACTGCATAACCAAAAACTGCATAACTAAAAAAAGCAGTTTTTTAGTCTAGATTTCTATGTCTAAAAAGCTCTATACGTCAGTTTATCTAACCCGGCTATCAAAAATCAAATTTCTGTACCGTATTGTCTCAAAAATTCATACCTGTTATACAGGTAGGTATCGGGTATCCAGAGCGAATCATGTGGCAATATCGTCTTATTAATCATCCCATATTCCCGCGGATCCCAAAATAACATCTCGTCTGTCCATTTCTGAAGCGTGGCTGTGTTTCTCTGCCCTCTCTAATCTCTCTCGTACCTGTATCATCCATACATTCAGCTTGATAGTTTGTGATGGTTCGTCGACCTCGATGATTTGATAGAGAGACATTGAGATTGATATCTTCATCGTTTCGTTGTGTGCCATTTTGGGACGTACTCGGATGTCGTACCTGAAATTGTTAGGAATAGGTCGATATATAGGCTTTGTCTTGCACAAGTTATGCAGTTTTTGGAACATCTGTTATGCAGTTATGCAGTTTTCGCGACAAATTGCTCTAACTTTTTGTAGAAAATAGATAAAGCTTTGGAAATTTTAGAAGCCATTTTCTGGCATAAAACTTATCTATAAAACGTAATAAAGCAAATATTCCTGCATATTTAGGTTATGCAGTTTTTGGGGCCGGCGGTTATGCAGTTATGCAGTTTTTGCAAAAATTCGCTCCAACTTTTTGAATAGGATAAAGAAAGCTTCTAAACTATTGGGAAACCGTTATCTGACATGCAATCTATCGATACGGAATTGTTAAACTACAAACTACAGTACCTGTCCGGCGCAAAAATATCCTTTGTCAACCGAACCAACGGCACCTCCTCCTGCGACATATTTGGCCATCGTCGCGAGGCTGGAATAATGATAAAATTTTTGATAGAAACGTAAGGCTTTAAAAGTGGTTTTCCACAACTGGACAATTTACAAAATATTTTAAAATCATTTAAACAGCAAATGGGGGTAAGTCATGGACTACTCCACTCAAAAAGAATCGAGCACATTTACCTGGACGAGGGATCATAAACGAGTCTAAAAATAATAGATTGTGTGAGATTAATCGGTTACGTAATGGAATGGGTACAGTGGATGGCAGATTAGAATTTGAAAACAAAAAAATACTCAAACTATTCTATTACTGACCTGCCATTTGGGCGCCGGCAGACCATGCCGACGCGATGAACCCGAGGAGAAGGAGAAGAAAATGAAGGGGAGAGTGGCCGGACATCAAATTGAAGAGAGACGATTCATCACCTAAGGTAGACAAATTTAATCGATTACGATAGGTATTAAACCCACCTAGCCACTGCCGAGCCCTCAATCATACTGTAGAAAAATTCTAGCTCCTAAATTTGGATTTTCAAAATTGAGGTCTAAACTCAAGGTAAACTCGGTAAAAACCGATTAAGAAATTCACAAAAAATTATTCGAAACATTTTAAACACTTTACTGTATGGCAGAATAGACAAAAACAAATGATAAAAAGCAGAAAAGTAGAAAATTAAAATTAAAAATTTAATGACCAGAACGTTTTTGGCGAAAATGGCTCCAAAAATTCGTTGAGATTCGGTGGAAAGTGGACTAGGAATGGATGGGACAGCCGAGATAACTGTCGTAATCGGTTCATTGGCAAGCTGTTTAGAAATAAGGAAGGAGAAATAATGAAAATAATAATGAGCTGACAGATACGGTAGAAAAAAGGTACGGTATGAAAAAAGGTGCGTTATTTGTCGATGGCCTCCATTCCCTTTGCATACCAATGGATGAAGCCGATAAAGTTGATCCCGAATGTGATGATGGCAAAAGCTGGAAAATGAAGTTTATTAGAATTTGTAGTCTGTAGTTTGTATTTGGTAGAAAATTGCATAGATATTTCAAGGCTGCCAAACTAACGCAGAAAAGTTGTAGTTTGTACCCCAGAAGACTAAATCTATGGAAAAGTTGTAATTTATCGCCTTGAAATTGTAGTTTGTAGTCTAGTTGACCACTCACCAGTGACAAAAATGGCGAAACACAGCCGCTCGATCACCGTGGCCAACCACTCGTATTCGGCGATCGCGTATTTTCGGAGGGTGTGCTGGGCTACTGAAATAATCGATAAAGTGCAGACTACAATATATAGAATTTTCTACAAGCTACAAGGTATAGCTCCCTTTAAAACGGTATATAAATCCTGACCCTCCTGTCGGAACGGGTTATTCGGCGCTGCCCTCATCTTTGGTGTCTTGGCAGAGGGAGGGCAGGATGGAGCTTCGCTTGTGATCGATACTGAAAAAAACAATTTTTTGGGTTACTGTAGCCAGATTAGGTACTATAGCTGACAGTTAGAGGATCTTCATGCTAAGAATTTTCTTAGGGATCATGCTCAGTTTTTATGAGGAGGATAGGGGTTCCGGTAGGGGTTGTCAGGCTGCATTCACCCCCGCTTTGCACCTCTCGCCTCTCTCGCTCTCTCTCTCTCTCTCTCTCTCTCTCTCTCTTCTCCTCTCGCTTTCTCTCTCTCGCTTTCTCTCTCTCTCTCTCGCTTTCTCGCTCTCTCGCTTTCTCTGCACTCTCTCATGCCGTCTGTCTCTCTCCTCTTCTCTCAGACTCACACCACTGTTCATAGTAGAATTCTAGGAAGTCCGGGTTCTCCAGCAACAATTCATAGCCTCCTGGAAAATGAAGGAATTCCTCAAGAATCCCTGCTAGCTTGCCACTGATAAAAGGTGGTTTTGAGGTATCTGACTGCAAGAAAAATTAAAAACCTTTGCCCGACGCTTTTAATTCGACCCCGATTTTTTCGGTCTTGATGTCATAATCGCTTAGACTTTCAAAATTAAGTTTTTTACGCCAATTTTCCGAGACAATCCTATATACTGCATAGCAGATAATACGATAAAACTTGAAAACTTCGGTAAGACCATTTTCTACAGTACCCCTTACCATCAAGAGATGCAGCATCCCCATCCAAATTGAGTGAATTCGGTGGCACAGGTCGTGTTGTTGTAGGGGTTGAGGCAACTATTTCTTCATCTAAAATGGAGAATTCGATACAGTAAGCCTAGAGGGAGAGGGAACAAGACGCCTCGAAAATTCATAGCATCGGCACTGGGTTAGGAATTGAGAGGGGGGGGGGGTTAGGCTACAGTAGGAGAAATCGACTCTCTCTCTCTTTCTCTCTCTCTCCATCTGTCTACATTTTCTACTTACGATTTGCCGTTCTGGGCGCCGAAGAATAGACATGCACCGATTTTACTAGAAAAAGGCGTGATTTTTGTAAGTAGTAGATTTTTAGGTTTCCTGGTTGTCAGTCTAGCTACAGTAAGAGCAAAATCTGAAAGTGGATTTTTTGAGCGTATTTTTCTGGTTTTCTGCATAACAGTTTAGAATATTTTGCAATTTAAAAATTTAAATGGAATTTTTGATTTTTTAAAAATCAAGTTCTTGAAATTGACAAAATTGGCAGTTTTTTACGGTAACCCACTGGTATTATTGGAAGGGCTATGATGAATGAGCGGTTCTTGACTTCTCTCCTTCTCGGGTGGAGGGGCAGAAGGGCCATTCTTTTGCTTCTTCCCATCAGCTTTCTTTGATTTCTAAAAGACGCTATTTCTATCGTATCCCCCTCCCCTACCTTTCCATCAATCTTACTGGGTGCCACAGAAACGGATGGCGAGTCGAACATTTCTGTCTGAAATCAAAGTACGGTATTTATGACTTTCATGCCGTAATCGATTAGGGGGTAGGGGGACAGCCCGAGAAGAGATACACAGAAAGCCGTATGATTAGGAGGAGAACACAGTAAATCCATTAAATATCGTATACAGTATACTTACCCGGAAAAAATACGTGCGATGGATCTATTAAATAACAATAAAAATTCGCTATTTTTGAACCTGAAAGCTAAAATTCAGCGCAAAAATTCGAAAAAAATATATCGATTTTTAATAGCTTAAATTATTTTTCAATGCCGTAGGATAACGTAACGATACCTTAACGTCTTGTAGGATACTGTAGGGTACTGTATCGATCGAAATAACTAACCATCATTTCCTCCTTTAGTAGATGTTGAGGAACTGGCATACAAGTCAGGTACGAGAGGCATTTTCCGAATCTAAATTCATGTCGTAATCGATTGAATGTGTCCAGAGTAATGTAATGTACTTTCTGGTATTCAATCTACAGTATACCGGCGTTAAAAATGATTTTTTACGTTTTCTACAGTTTTTTAAGGGATTTCCTGGGCAAAAATCCCGGATTTTCCGTACTTTCCATTGTTCATGGCATAATCCATTGCATTACCTACCGTAAGGCTCCCTTGCTGAGCCGTTCCCCTAGTCGGCCTCTCTTCTGAATGGCAATAATGACTGAAGAGGCGATCGTTCCGAGTGAAATCACCATTATCATCATCAGGATGAACCAGCCTAAAAAAGCACATTCTTTGGATTTTTTTTAGCTCTCTACAGTAATCCAGGTCTCATAAATGTCATTTTTAGATTTTCTGACAGCCAGTTTCACTTTGTAAACTGTAAACTAAAAGTTATGATGCGATCTACCTACCAATAAGTGGAATAAACGTGGAAGTGGTAGGCATTTGATCAGAAACCATCAACATCAAGATGGACATCGAGAGAAGGGTTGTGATACCGAGAGATACTTTCTCTTCTCGCATACCGGACGCCGAGGAAGTACTAAATTTTGTTCAATTCAAAGTATATAAAGGTATCTTACGTGAAAAATCCGACCAGCGCGATGAGGGTGATGATTGAAGTAGGGATGATCAGGTTGACAAGGTAGAATAGGGGCTTTCGACTGAAATTTTTGAGGTGATACGGTTTTTTGTAGCGAATTACAATAGTTAATCGATAAACTGGTGGTACAGACTAACTGACAAGAAACGGGCGAGAAAATGAGTAATTACGGTATTTGGTTTCAAATAGTGAGAGATTGGCGGTCCCGACTTCAAAAACTGCATAACCTAATTCAGAGGTATCTAACCCTTTCAAGAAAATTTTCGGATAGGGTTATGTCCACTTTGGTCAAAAATGCCGATAAGCCCGGAAAAAATCAGTTTCGGCTAACTAAAACTAAAACTGCATAACCTATCCAGGCGAAAATCGCGGATTTTCAGGGTTCATACGATAAATCGTGATCCAGAACGCCAGAAAATGCCGAAGATAATGCTACCGTAGGACAAATAGAGCGCCAGTTTGATGAAAACTCGTGATAAAAACAATAATAACGCCTGGTTACCGTAGCCCAAAAACTGCATAACCTAGCCCAGGCTAAAAGTGCGGTTTTTGCGCTCCCGAACGCTAAATAGTAATTCAGAAGAGCAAAACACGTTGAAAATAATGGTACCATTAGACAGATAGACAGACAGACAGACGGACAGACAAAATCACAAAAATCAACTTCCCTATTGACCTACCGTAAATGCAGCGTCAATTCGAGTAGGGTATACTTGTTCGGACAACAGCTGTATTTCACCTCTTTCCTCACGACTAAATTGTAGTTCGTACTCGGTAAATAGGTGTATAACGTACTCTTCGTATTCATGATATACCATCCCTCATTTTCCAGATAATTACTCGTTCCCAGTTGTTCCGAGTACGGGAAATAATCGATGCCTTTTTGGTCGTACGTCCACGATGAGAATGTCATCGTGCAAACCTTAAATAATTCAATTTATTTAATTTTTTAGGGCATAAACTGGTAGATTGCATGCCAGATAACATAAAACACACAAAAAAATAAGCGTAAAATTGAATAGAAATCTTTTTTAAAGCTTAAAACATGCAAACTGCCATGCGCTAAAGCTTACCTGGTTGTCAAATGGGAAGAATCTGGAAGAAAAACAATTGTTTTTGGTTTTGAAAGCTACAGTAATACCTCAAATTGAGGAGACACGAAAATTTATAGATGGTCGGGTACAGCATTTCAATCCACGCCGCTTTCAACCGCTTATCGGTCGTCAATTTTGCATTTAGAAGACGTCTCGTGTCGTCATCTTTCATTACCAAGCTAAATAATGAGATTTTAATGGCTTTAACGGGTTAATTGGCGGCCAGTTTGACCAAAAATATAGGTATCTATTACAATAAGGCATTTTTGACAGTTTGACGAGTTGACTGACTGTCAGTGGACCCGAAAACAGAAGAATAAGGTTCATTTTACCTGTTGTAAAGTGTAGTGTCGGGTATCCATATCGAATCGTGGGGCAATCGGATTTCGGTGATGTTACCGTATTCATCCGGGTCCCAGTAGAGGAACTCGTCGTACCAACGCTACAAAACAGGCAGGATGCATCGAATTTCTCTCTCTCCTCCTCTCTCTCTCTCTTTCACTCCTCTCTCACCTCAATAATCCAAGCATTCAACAGGATAAATTGTTGCGGCTCGTTCTAAAAATTCCCTCGAATCTTTGTATCCATATGTTCCTCACCAATTCGAGAATCTGATACAAATCCATCGAAAATGAGACGTTAATTGAGGAATTATTGTCCCAGACTGGCTTCGCTAAAATGAGAAACTGATAATTCCGTTTTACACCTCTTTACATACCCTTTTTGTCATATTTATCGAGCAGATCGTGTACAAGGGCTATTTGGGCTGGGATTGAGGCTGTCAGGGTGAATAGTTGCACTGAAATCGACGGAATTAGATTGCGTTGCGTGATTGGATAAGGTTTCATACTGGCATATAGTAGATACAGTAGTTCTATGGCTACCGTACGCCGAAATAAGCAAAAAAATTCGTGCAATCGCGTATATTTTCGTACTGTCACCCATCAAGCAAAATTACAGTACAATTTCTAGCGTAATTGCAATCTTTTTAAAAATAATTTGCTTACCAGCACATAGGGCCAATGTCCGATGGAGGGACCCGAGCATTTTGATGTCTTTTTCTCCTTTCTGCTTCTCTCTCACTCTCCACTCTCTCGTCTATCGGATCACAGGCAATTGGAGTGTCATTTGGATCGAAGTGGAAGCAACGGCTGCAAATCATAATTTTTATGCCGTGTTATAAAAAATTCAAGTAGTATTCAAAAATGAGAACAATTCAAAGCCTTGAGTTTAAAGGGAGAGTGAAGCTAGAAATTCAACAGTTTAAAGGGGCAGTGAAGTAGAGAAAATTAGCATTTTATAGGAGCGATGGCCTTGTCAGTGATCACCTTGTTAAAGGGTCGTTGAAGGCAACAGTTCTAAGAAAAACCCGAAACTCCAAAAAACTTTCCGGGAGTTCTTATGCCAAAAAGCCCAAATTTCAGGAATCTTTGAATTCCTTAAGGATCTCTGCTGGCTGACACTCTGAAAGGTAAGCAGAAGCCAAAAACTACGAAAAATCGAAAACGACAAAAAATAGCTTCCGGAAGTTCCGATTGAGATTGCTCCTCTTTCTTTGCCAAAATCCGGTTCCGGTCATAAAAAACGTTTCCGGAAATTGGGCGCGTGTTCGTTTCGAGGGGGGTATCAGCTGGGGGAACGGAACTCCGCTCTTCTAGCCAGAATTTCACCCTCAAAAACCCGGGGGGTTTATTTGAGGGGTTGAGTCTTCTCCTTTTTTAAGCTCTAGCCATAGCTTCCAGGCTTACTGAGACGAATATAAGCCCGAGAAGATGTTTTTTGCATGGCAGATCGCGGGAAAACAGGCTTTAAAAATCCCAAAAATAAACGGAAGCGTTTTAAAGGGACGTCGAAGGCCGGGGAATTGAGAATGTGAGCCACAAAGGAGATTTATGGTCTAAAAAACTCAAAATTCTTAAATTTCCTAAAAAATCGTTGCTAGCTTGCCTTAGATTAGTCCAAAAACTAGACGGTTACGGGAACCGAATCCAGATTCTCCTCAAGGAACTCAGCTATTTTGCCCACTTTTTAGAATTCTGAATTTTAACGACTTCTCTGAACCTAATTTTTCCCAAAAGCCCTGCTAGCTTGCCCAAGATTATTGAAAAACCTATAAAGGTTAACAAACCCTGATTTCCTCAAGAATCGCTGCTAGTTTGCCTCCCGTCCAGTCCAACAGACCCTGAAAAAGTGGAATTCAGGGTATTTGCTATGGTGGAAGAAGTCTACTGGAAGTGAGCTGCACGGTTACGTCATTCCTACTGATTTTCCTAAAGGATCTTTGCTATCAAGCCCTCAAAAAGTGGCCAATTTCTGTGTTGCATGTCAGTTGAGTCGGAATTGCCCTTGTAAAAGCGGAATTCAAACCATTTGTTGGCCAAAGGGCGGAACTAGTCTATGGGAAGATGAGCTGAGCGGTTAGGTCATTTCTACTGTTTTTCCCAAAGACTAGCCTCCAGGAATTTTAACATCGTCCCAGTTGGCAGCCAATAAAGTTCTTAATGCCCGGCAAAAAGTGGAATTCAAGCTATTTCAGCAGACAAATGGCGGAAGTAGTCTACTGGAAGCCGAGCAGCGAGGAGCAGGGGGGAGGGAAGGGTTAGGTGTTCATAGATTCCCCCTCCCCGCCCGATCGGCTTCTATCTAATATGCATGGTGCTGGTCATTCTCGACCCAGGTACCCTTTTCTCTCTCTTTTCTTCTGTCCCGGCCCTTTAAAACGCCCCCTTCAATTCATCTGCCATGCATTGCCCGTAGAGGTAGAGGTCCCGATTTCTACCGGGTATGCATTTGCAAATAATATGAATCAAACTGTCGAGCTGAAGACCAGCTTTTGGGTCGATTAACTGCATTGGCTTGCAAAAGGCACGTACTCAAAAGTCGGCGATTTTCCTTAAAGGTTTCTGCTAGCTAGCCTCTTTACCGGTAGTTTCCTTATTAGCGCACGAATATCTCAGAAAATAATTCTAAATCCCAAAGTTTCTCTGCCAATTTGCATATTTGTCATCCAATTGAGACGGTGGACACCGAGTTCCTAAAGAATCTCTGCTAGAGAGCCCCGTGTATGTCGCCAACGCCGTAAAACGTGAAAAACGCAATAGCTGGGCTCTCGCAACCCTCGGGCTCGCTTATTTGGATTAGCTGAAGGTCAAAATAGCAGGAGAAGCACTTCTACTGGTCCTGCTCACTGCCCTTTTCCACCCATAAAAGATATACCGCCCTCTAGGCCCCTCTTTTAGGTGGCAGGGTTCGAGGTTCCAATCTGGATAAGTGGGCGCATTTCTCTCGCTCTCTCTTTCTCTCTCTCTCTCTCTCTCTCTCCATATGGACACCTATGGGACCTTTCTCTCTATAAAGACAGACAGACAGAGAGGTCATTCTCCCCCCAAAAGGCCAAAATCCGAGGCCCCAAAATGGCCCGCGATTCGATTGCCCTCTACACAAATTTGAAAAAATGGCTACGGCACGCCATTTCGGGATCAGAGAGCAAAAAGGAAATTTTTACACGCTGTCTGCTAGTCATTTCAAATTACGATGAATTTCTGAAGATTTTAAAGGGAGATGGAAGTCAGGAATTGAGCACATATTCCGATATCTGGTCCGATAAATGAATCGTAGGCTTGGCTTTGATTAATATGGCGTAATTGGATAGCTGCACCACCCGGCCGAGCCTATTCCGGCGCCTTTAAAGGGATTGGCAAGTCAAGTTGGAGGGTAGGGACCAGGGTTGGTCCATTTGGTATCCGGATCCTATCCAGATAATATCCGGATACGGGTATGTATCCACACCCGCCGCATTAGCATATGTTCTTTGGATACGGATAATATCCACAATGGATACGGATAGTATCCATATCCGTAGAATGAATTTTGCCGGATACGGGTATGGATACGGATACAGATACGGATACTACCCGGTATCCGTTGCGGATACTTTGGATACTTCCGGTTTTTTATGCAAATCACGGTATTCATTTGTGTTTTGTATGGAAGTCGTTACGACAAGATATTTTGTTTAAGTCTAAATCGAAGCACTATGCAGTTACGATGTTACATCCACCGATTGGACAGCACAATTGTGCACAAGAAGATTTCCTTTATTTTTGAAGTTTTCTTAGGTGGTTCTGTCGTCTGGGGGCTCGCCTTCGTATCGTATACTTGGATCTTAAAGCGTTGGCAAATTGGGGATTTGTTAGAATTGCGGATATACCCCTTTTTTATCCCGTTTTCGATGCGGCTGAGGAGTGATGGTGAATCTAGGCTTTAATGTTGATCGTTTCCATACAAAACCAAGCTGAATATCGTGATTTGCATAAAAACCGGAAGTATCCAAAGAATCCGCAACGGATACCGGGTAGTATCCGTATCCATACCCGTATCCGGGAAAGCCATGCTAATTTTGGATACGGGTACGGATACATATCCGGATACCAAAGTATCCGTATCTGCCCAAATTAGCATAGGTTCACGGATACGGATATATATCCGCATTAGAGTGAGGGAGGCCTAGGCTAAAGCCTAGGCTAGCCTAGGCTTCCTCAGGCTTTTTTAATTTGCATCGCCTAGGCTGAGCCTGGGCTATGCCAAAGCACGCCTGACCTCTAATTAGTCAGGCTTTATCTGGAAATTTTATGTAAAGTCGTATAATATTCGAATTTTTGCGGAACAAATAAGGAATTTTTTGAAACTTCCGGGGGTCGAAGAGCTGTATTGGGTTCAAAAATATTCTACAAAGTTAGGGTACTGTTTTTGACGAATCCTACGGCACGATACGTTAATAGCACGCGGATACGCAAAAGCCAAGAGTCGGATCAAACGGAGGGGGGATGCAATTGCCTCTCCTGATATCTTGCCTATATGTTTCCCACTTTCGGCATCCTTGTAATTTGTTATTACGACAAAAGATACCAACGTTTTAGATGCAGTAACCAGATTAACATGTTTTCACGCATTGCATAAAAAGCCTGCGTAAATCCTTAGGCTTCCGCCAGGCGTCGGCAGGCGCGGAAATGCAATTCGGCCCAAGAAAGCCTGAGGAGGCCTGCCGCTCCCTCACTCTAATCCGCATGTACGAAAATGGGTACCGATGCTGGATACGGATATTCAAATGACCAACCCTGGTAGGGACGCGAAAGTAAGTTGTCCGCTAACGGGCTGGCGATTTGCCGAACTACGTTATAAAACGCATTAAAACTTTAGATACCGATATAATAGATTTTTTGGCTGCCAGGGAATCAATTAGAGGGTTCAAAATGGCTGTAAAAGTCGTATTTATGTTATGCAGTTTTTGACAACTGGAGAGACTGAGACTGAGCAAACTGGAGATCAACTCGAACTGTAATCTTCCAAGATTCCCAATCTTTCCAAGAACGAATTGGTAGTTATTCGTGTTGGCTGTCAAGCTTCGTAGAATATCCCTTTTGACTGGCAGGTGGGGGAAGGATGGAAAACAATGGTTATTTTTTCGAATTAGTGGGTGGGCCAACGGTAAATCTTCAGAAATTCGGAGAGAGAGAGAGAGAGAGAGAGAGAGAGAGAGAGTGTGAGGAAAAGAAAGAAAGAAAGAGTAGATGCTCCCTAAGGGGGCTAGCCATCAAAAGACATCAAAAGGAACTCGAGAACACTGAAATGGACAGACAGATAGAAAGAGAGACAACCCCTTTCCATTCCGACGAACAACAATAGACACCCCTGCCCTCCAAAATGGAAAAAGCTAAAAGTGGGCGGCCTTTAAATGGTAGAGTATGACTTATTTTGTAGTATGTACTTTTCTTAACTTCGAACACCTGGGGAAAACAAGAAAAAGTACATTTTTCTCATATTTCTCCCATAATGTTTTTTAGCTAGAATTTTAAGCGTGAATCGACTAACTGGCAGCCGTTTGACAGAATAGACCTGCGAAAATCGCTCCTCGCTGTCAAAATAGGTTATGCAGGTTATGCAGTTTTTCAAAAGTTGAGTTATTTATGAGCTGGCCAAAGCATTAGGGCCAAAAGTCTTTGGAATCTGATGAAATGGAGCCCAGATTACCAAAACACGATAATACC